CGAAAGGATTGAAAAGATGAAGAACACGATGCCTACATGAACGCCTCGCACACGACGAACGGATTATCCAAATTCGAATCGGAAAACAGTTCTGAAAACTAGACTAAACAATCTACACGTCGGTATGCGGATCGTCTCCAGACTCTTTCTGGTTCGACGGGAATCCTCCCTCTAAGTGGACTGATCGCAGCAGAAAACTGCAGAAACCTATCCAGTTAAAATGATCATAAGGATTGGAGAACTTACCCACAAAGTTTCACCCTGATCCGACCTGATTTGCCTAGCCGTTCGTCTCCTCCAAAAATCACCTAAACCGAATTAGGATTTCAGAAGACATGAATGACACACTGACTTTGAAAGCACACCGAGAACGGATAATACCTCAGAATCAGGATCAGAAACCTGATTTAGAAACTAGACATAGAGAGCTTTCTACAGATAGGCTGATCGTCTCCTAAGTCATTCTGGTTTGATCGGAAAGCCTTCCCGAAGCCGACTAATCACAGCAACAAGTCTGCACAACCCTATCGAGTTCAAACAGCCATAACTCAACGAATACTCAATGAAATGACGAATGGATTTTGCCCATATCGAGACCAGAGATCAGAGAACTTACTCTCAAAGTTTCACCCCAATGCTCCTCGAGTTGCCCAGCCGGTTGCCCTCTCAAACACTCGAACAGAAGCTGTCCTTCACCCTCAATCACACACAACTCACAACCTCTCTTGATTCTCTCTCAAATCCTACTCTTTCTCTGATTTTCGGCCAAAAAGAGACCAACACGCATCTGTTCCAGCCCTTTTATACAACCCTAACCGCTCTCCAAACCGGCAATCAGAAACCGAAACCGTCGGTCTGATTTTACTCCGTGTCGATCGGCACACATGCCCAAAAATTTCCCTTTTTGGTTTACGGGCGTTACACTCAAGCTCATTTGTTAATTTTTGTAGAGATCTTGTACTGATTTTATCTTTGTGGTTTAGGATCCTCAAGCTTCTCAAGCTATTGGAAGTGAAGCTCCTCAAGCTCCTCAAGCTATTGGAAGTCAAGCTCCTCAAACTTCTCAAGCTCTTGGTATTTAGGACTGTTTGTAGTATCCTTTTCGGCTGCATAAGAAGCGATTAATAATGTTTTTGGTTTGCTTCTTATGGCATTAGACCCGACATTTGACCCGACTTTAGCTTATGGCTTTTGTATTGACTTTAGCTTATGATTTTGATCTTTTGTGTGTTGGTAATGACTGCCTTTTGTAATGACTTGAGCTACTTCTTTTGTACTTTAGTAATGACTATCTTTGGTAATGACTTTAGCTTGTCTTTGAATCTCAAAACAAACTATTCTTATCAAGTTATATTGTCTTACATAGGTTAATAACCAAACACACACAAGCTTGTCTTAACAAACCTAGAATATTGTCT